AAAAAGATGGAGACAACTTGCTGTAATTACCCAATCTTAATTATATGAAATTGGTATGGGTTCCAGGAACAAGTTGTGGATGTAACCTTTGAGAACTTTTGCCGAATATGTAAATCCATCAGCATCCTTGTAAGTGAGATCTGCTACACGAGCCATATTGAAAGCTCGGAGCAGGATTTTCCTGGGAACAATAGTTGGCCTCATCAACCAATCCTCATTCAGCTCCTTCCATGCTTTTGAAAGTCTTCTCTTAAACTCTTCAATTGCCTCTTCTTTCGAAACTCCAAACTCCTTCATGTAGCAATTGAGTCCACAACCCACAAGCCCTCTTTTTTCTTCATCCTTAATTAAAAATCAATATAAATTTAAAAGTTACGGCTTTTTGTTTAGTATAGTTGTTTTGTTCATTCTATAATTGATAGTAAATATTCAAAGTCGGATAGTGTTTGGATTACAAATATAAGGATATAGAGTACCTCATTTGTGACAATGTCATTGTAAAAACGGCCGATGGTATTGATTGCGTCTAGTGTTTTACCATCCCCTCTTGCCAGCCACTTGAATGTTTCAATTCCTGCCTCTTCCATCCCAACATAAGCCTGTGCTAGTACAACAATAGCCGCACTTGAGTACAAGGCGATGTCTAAGTACTCATCTAGCGACGGTAGGTGATCTTCCACCGTCCATCGAGCTTGAACAATGTATGTTTTCAAAGTTTTTTGAGTCTGTACATAGTTATGACAATAAAAAAAAATATAAAAATTTCATGTGAAGTTAAATAGATTTAGTATAATTTAGAATAGGGATTATAGAAAGTTAGAATGTCTTATCAATTGAAATATTAAAATTTTTTTATGAAATTATTTAAATATTCTTACTAAATTATATATAAAATAAATTTATTAAATGTATTTAAATACTTTTATTTAAAATTTAACAGTTTAAATAATATAAGAACGATTTGATTTTTGTATTTCTCTTTGGAATATTGAAAAGTAGAAAGAAAAAAAAAAAAGGAAGTAGACATGGTATATATATGTACCTCCTCCTTGGTATAAGAAATGGCAAAGGATCTTCCTTCGTTGGAGACCTCTCTCTCTGCTTCTTCATGAGTATCTAAGATGGCCTTGTATAGAGCTTTCAATGGATCTGTAGGAAGTTGATCCATGGCACTCCTATCCCACCTATATATATAACATATATCACACTGTAATTCAGCTGATGATCGATCGATTCATGCTAATTTCATATAGAGTAGCTCTCTAGGTGTAAAGAACCAACTAATTAAGAGGAAAGAAAATATCATATAATTAAAGTTGCAGAGCTGAACCTTAATATGGCATTTGCTAAACATCGAAGTTCTTCGTATGTGCCATATGCATCATATGTGTCATCAAGAGCTGCTAGGAGTTGTATAAGTTGAGTCAATATTTTCCTTGCCCTGGCATACTGTGGCTCGAAATAGTGTCCAACAGACCAGAAGAACGCTTCCGCAATTCTATCTCTTATATTAATCATGGACGATAAGTTTAGATCTTTCCACCAACTGCAAATTCAATTAATGGTATATATGCTACAGCAGCTAATTAATTAACTTTAAAAAGTCTATATTTTCAAGAGCAAAACTGAACTTACCCAATGAGTACCTTCAATTCTTGCTGGTGTAAGAGCTGTAGCGTGTTAAAATCCAACTTTGCAAGGTTGAGCAGAGTATCATTCCTGGACTCTTCTTGTTCGTAGAAAGAGATGAATTGTCTATGTTCCACTCTTGGCACGCCCCTGTGGTATGGCCTATTCAGAGCGTTGAGAATGTATTGTTGAAGATGAGGGCTTGATTGCTTCGCCAAGGAACACAGCTGATCCATTGTGAATGAATTGGCTTCGTCTAGAATATCCTCTCCTTGTATACCCCACTGGCATGCTTCGTACAAGCTCAGGATACCTTTTACATCCCTAGCTAAGCTTGACTTAAACTTACCATTTTTGTCCGTGAACTTGTTAAATACATCTAATTAATTCAAAAGGATCGATCTACCTTATTTTTTGATCATCCAAACTTATAAAGTAAGTAAAGATGTGGCAATTAATTTACTTACCACACGGTATCTTGTAACCATGTTGTCCAAAGACCTGAAATATGAGTGCTACTGTTGATAGGTTGTAGTCATGTTCATTTATGAGTTCGTTTGAGATCTCAAAAAGATGATTCAGTTGCTCTTCGATTTCATTTTCAAAGTGATATGAGACACCAAGGCGGTATAACAAGTTAATCAAATTGACCTTCTCCAATGGATCATCACTTTTGGAAGCTATCAAACTGTCTCTCACAATCTCTTTCAATGACTCCACTTTTCCCGAATTCGATTCAAGTTCCTGCGCACAAGCTTATACAGTTAATTCAATAAAATGGCAAATTAAAAAAGAAGTGTATATAGCAAGTAGGTAATACCGAGTTATCGATGGATAAAGAGGCAAAATGATTGCACCAAACGTCGGGAGGAAAGTCTATGAGAGGACGGAAAGTGTCTTGTTTCGAATTTTGAGGTAAACGAGCAAGAAAATCTGCATTTCCTGAGTTAGTACGCAAGGAACAGCATGCAAAGCTACGTTGCCCACCTTCTCTGGCCGGAGGAGGAATGTGTGGAAGGGGAAGTGGGAGACAATTATTGCGTCGGTAGCTTATCGCTGCTAAAGGTATCTGGATTGCCATTTTCTGATGAGTTCAAAGATGGGCGAATAGGGATCATTTATGTAAAATCCAACACGTGGATTTGGAAGATTTCTAATGTAACACACGTGGATATGGTAAAAGCTACAGATATATCGGCAATCCTACAGTTAGAATGTTATTTTAAGTTTATAATGATGAAGTGATATTAAATAAGTATAGTATAATATTAAATGAATAAAAATATATAATATCATGAATAGGTTTTTAAATAAAAATATTTATTATATGATAATATATCATAATATAAACTTATAATGTTATGTGATATTTTTATAACTATAATATTTTTATAAAAATATAATTCTTTCATCTCAAAATAATTGTTTTTTACTTTAAATTTGTTTTAAATTAATTTTCGTTTTTTCATTTTTGAAGATATATAATTTTTTTACTTTAACTCTATCATTATCTATTTATTTTAATTAGTTATCTAACTAAAAAAATCTCTCATTATTTTTTTATTTCTTTTTTAGTTTCTTTTTTAGGGGTATTATAGATATATATCCTTATTGTCTCTAAATCCCAAGTTGGAAAAAAAGTAAAAAAAAAAAAATAGTTATTTTAGGACAAAAAGAGTATATTTTAAATAAAAAAGTATTATATACTTGTAACATTCATAATTAAAAATATAATCTCTCACTTAATATCATGATTATTGTATTATGCTTAAGAAGTGTTTTAAATTATTAACGGCTTGAGATTTTAAGTTGAAAATTTTTAAATTTGAACCTTAAAAGACAAGTAGAAATGTAGTAGGGGAAGAATATGACTATTCGTACTCTATACCCA